GACAAGGAGGGGCTTGAGGAGGAGGAGGGGGAGGCGGAGGAGGAGGAGGAGGAGGAGGAGGAGGAGGAGGAGGAGGAGGGAAGGGACAAAGGGAAGGGGCTGCCCTTCGACGTGATCGCGACATTGTTCGATCTCCCTTGTTCGCTTGATTTCCCGTACGACGACGAATTAAAGGAGGCTTGCGTACTTCACTTTGGGTTGGGCTGGCTTCGCGTCGAGGGGCCTCTCTCACATTCTGACTGGGTCGGCATACTTATCCACAGTGCCAACCAATATCTCGACGCGAGCCAATCCGAGAGGGGCCTGCTGATTTGTATTTACGGAAGACGTGTGCTTGAAGCAGCGGTGGTCGCTGTGAAGGATCGCGTGAACTGCCTTGGTGAGTGATGCTGATGGCAAGGCTGCGATGTGAGGTCGCGTCGCCCCGCTGGCGCGGCTTGCTCGTCGGTGCTCGGCGTCTTCCCTCGCAGGAGCACGGGCATGCAGCATGCACTGGCGCAGCGTCTGGTGACCGAGCGTCCGGCCCTGAGGAGCCGCTTCTGGGTTTGGGCTATATCAGGAGAGGAAAAACACACAGACACAATTAATCGTCGATTCCCAGAAAATATGGGAAAATATGGGAAGTGGGGGGGAAGACAGAAACCCAGAAACTATGGGAAAATATGGGGAATCATTTTATTTGTGTGTATTTATTTGTGTGTCCTGAGGCCCCTTTATGTAGGTCGAGAAGATATATTCGTGCCCTACGCTCCGTGCGACATCCCTCGAGTTGCGGAAGTCGGTTAATGGAGAGGAACCATGTTGCCAAACACTTTCCATGTGTTTAGAGCATGTGTCACATCTGTTTTATATGTTAAACACATGCTTGAGCCATGTTTGGAGCATGCCTTTACACACATTAAACGCACTGTTAATGCAATGATAGGATGTTTAGAGTGTCCATGGTCATGGCATCCACAACCCTAGAGAAGGTGTATATGTGTGTACAGGGATGGCAACTGGATGCAATCGCGAACCGATGCTTCGTTCCGAAGGTTGGAGTCAGCTGCGAGTGGCAGGAACACGTGTGCTTGGGTGTGTGTGTGTGATAGGGGGTGAGTGGAAAAAGGGGGTGGGCAAACTGCGGCGGAGTATGTCACTCACACGGCGTGCGTGGAATCATCAGCGCCGTTTGGCCACAATCAATGCGCTCTGCCACACAAAAGGACAGGCGCGCTCACACACCCTCGTCGTCGTCGTTGTCGTCGTCCTCCTCCTTTTCCTCGTCCTTCCCTCCCCCTCCTCCTCCTCCTCCTCCTCCTCCTCCTCCTCCTCTTCCTCCTCCTCCTCCCCTGCAGACTATTTGCAAGGTTCGGCTCTCAACGACGGCGGCGGTTGGGTCCCCCGTGCAAAACCCAGCCCTTGCGCGTGCCGATCTGTTGCGCTCAGCGGCAGGCTCCTGGCCGACATGCAGTGGAGACCCATGCCAGGAAGCACCCTGCTTGCCTCCAGGCTTGCCACCAGTAAAAACACAGAGCATGAACGATGACCAAGGGCGCCCTCGAGGGCGCGAAGTTATTCGCGCTTCGCGCTTCGGCTCCGATTCCTCCTCATCCTCCTCTTCTCCCCTGGGAGGCGGCGCGAGAGCGCGAAGTTATTCACTCTTCGCGCAGCGCGAAGCGCGAAGTTGGGAGCCCTTGCATACAGTGGAGGCCCATGCCAGGAAACACCCTGCCTGCCTCCAGGCTTGCCACCAGTAAAAAACACGGAACATGAACGACGACGTAAACAACGTCCCAGCTAGGGGAACAGGGGCGGCGCCGGAGGCGCCGCCAAGGGGGGTCTCCAGCGCCGATCCGAGGAATCCGCGCGGACCTCCGAGGCCCACGCCAAGAAGCACCCTGCTTGCCTCCAGGTTGCCCTGGGTTTCTCTTGGGTTTCGATCGTCTTGCTGTGGGAAGCGTGGCGCTCCCACGTCCAAACATCCATGGCCGTCCTGGGATCTCAGGGTTGGGTTTCTCGTGGAAGGTCTCTTGTGGTCGAGCCCCTACTGTAGTTGAAGCCACACGTGTTGCCATTGATTTGGCCATGAAGCGCACCATCTGCGCAGGCACAAGCGTCCGCATGGTCTGGAATTCGTCGGCCATCGGCAGGTGTCAGTCTAGCTCGGATGCTTCGGTTGACGATCTGCATGGAGGGGTCGTGCATGCTGTTTTGCGCTGGTGGCGTGTCTCAAAGTTGAAGGCCGAACCGTTCCTCGGAGCTCCTGCTCGTGTCGTCTGCCACCTGGTTCTTGGATGAGTCGGCAGACCGCAGCTGCCTCCAGCAATGGAGACACCGCTGAGCACCCAGCCGTCGGCTGCTGATTCTCGCGCGCGCGCTGACAGCGCGTCCGCGTCGAGCAGGGGGTGAACCGTTGCCGCAGGCACAGCATTGATCTGTGGTCCAGCCCTGGATGGCTCGCCATTGCACGCATCCGCCTGGCAGGCACGCCATCGTAATGCAGTCACGTTCGTTGGTCTGCCACAGTAGAGCCAGTCGGCCTACATGGATTCCTGCTCTGCCCAACAGGAAGGTACTCGGACTTCTCGTCCGCTCGTTATTCTCTCTTCGTCTTCTGAGTTGTTATACAGTGGAGGTCCATGCCAAACAAACACCCTGCTTGCCTCCAGGGTGCCCTGGGTCTGTTGTCGCCATGGGAAGCGTGACGTTACCACACCAGACATCAACGAACGTCCTGAGGCCTCAGGGTTGGGCTTCTTGTGGAAGGGTTCTTGTGAACTGGCCTCCACCGTATGTATGCTTGTACACCTTAGGCGATGCTTAAGAAAACCTAAGTTTTCTGCCAGAGTCTCGATTATTCTCAACGTTTCAATGTAAATCTTAAGATTTTAATGGAAATGTTGGGTTTTTATTCAAGTTCTGAGACTATGAATTTCTTAACCCATGATTTCTTAAGCATTTCGCAGGGTGTACTGTACTTCCAGCTGGTCTGACGAACTGCAGGGGTGGGCTCGCCGGCGCTGTCCTCTCGGACTGGGGTCTGCCTGCCGTGCATGGCCCAGCGGGCTCCCATGCAGTCTCGGCCTCCTGTACACCCTAGGCGATGCTTAAGAAAACCTAAGTTTTCGTCCAGAGTCTCGATTATTCTTAACTTTTCAATGTGAATCCCAAGATTTTGATAGGAGTTCTGGGTTTGTAATCAGATTGTGCGACTATGAATTTCTTAACCCATGATTTCTTAAGCATTTCGCAGGGTGTAGATCGGTTTTCCTGACGGCTGTGCCAGACAGGTGCGCGTGCTGTGATATTCAGCACGGTGCCGCTGTTTCCATACAGTCGGGGCCCCGAAGAAGGAACCCTTTTCGTTGGGGAGGGGCTCCGCGTTCCTTGAGTGTTTCGCAGCTCGCCTCGGGCTGTCCTTATGTTTCCGACAGGAAATCGAAGGTTAACTTGTGGAAAAAAGGGATCTCGCTCCTTATTTAGGGTTCCTTAGGTCAAGGCCCCGACTGTAGCCGTGCGTGTGACCGAGTCGTGCAGGGGATCCTTCTGCGTGGCCTCCCTCCGGAAGGCCGAGAGGCAGACCGCACCCTCTGGTCGCGCCGGCCGTGCATGGCCGACGCGTCCGCGGGCGACCGCCTCTGCGTTTCGCCGTCCGAGCGCAGCGTAGGATCACGTCGGGCCTGTCCTCCCACAGGCGGGATCTGGACGAAAACTAAAGAATAGTAGAAAACAATATGCCCCCGAATGGTCAAACGCTATCAACCAATCGTCCCCGTACTATTTCTTCACCATCTTTGAGTATACCCCCCCTGCAGAGGGACAGGCCTGGCTGAAGCGTAGGACAGGAGCAGGTCAGCGTGGGAGGGCAGCGTTGCCCAGATGCCGCCGCCGCGGCGCGGCTTTCCGCCCTGCGTGGAGCGCAGGTGGTCTGCAAAGGTACTTCCAGCAGGGGCTCCGCTGCACAATCATGGCATTTGTTCAGCGAGCCGTTTCCTCTCTTTCTTTCTTTCTCTCTCTCTCTCTATATATATTTCTTGCTAAGCCGACGGTACGCTGACACCCCTCCTCTGCCATCGCAGCGAGTTATAGCAATGCAGGGGTCCACCACCCTGTTTTGAGCATCGAGCTCATAGTTGACGTGTAGAAGTTCAAGTGCAAGAAACAGCAGGCGATGATTTCTCTGGTCATGACGTCGCAGGTGGCTCCGGAGGTTACTCCGTGTCTTTTGCTCACAGCTCATGCGGGGGCCGACGTTGGCAGTGGTAGTGCCTGGACACTGCGTCAAGAACACAGACTCGAGAGCCAGAGTGAAAGGTTCAGCATGTGATGATTCAACGTCGGCCGGCATGGCAACCTGTGGTGACCCAGGGGCCCCGTGATAGCCGCGAGCACAGAGAAGCGGTGTGACATGCGATGAGGAGGCGGCCGCATGAAGGTGCAGCAAGAAATGCGAAGGAGAGTACAGTCGAAACCGGTGGTAAGGATGGGTCACATTCCCAAGGGCACCCTTGCATCCTTGCCTCCTCGGTCCATCCTCGACGACGTTCGATGGCCCGTTGAAGCTCGCTGAGGGGCAGCGAACGCGGTCTGTGTTTCTGGGGCGACGGGGGAGAGGGCAATGCTTTTGTAGGGCAAGAGCAAGCATGCACAGCCCGATCGTCGGCAAGCGCAGACCTGAGATCAGAGCCTCTCGCGAAGGGCGGCGGCAAGGATTGCTGTTGACCGATCAAGCGCGCCCGCCGAGCGTACGGGGATCTGGCCCTGGAAACATGCCCCCCCAGCGACCTTCAAGCCTTCCCCGTGCCGTCCCCGGCCCATCGCCTACAGTCTCTCTTGGCCAGCGCCGCCGCCCCTCGGGGCCCCGCCGCTCGGAACGCTGCCCCTGGGCGGAGCGCCACACTCCAGATCGTTCTCCTCCGTTACAAGCAACCCCCGGAAATGGGGCGCGAGCTTGGACTCCATCCCCAGACGACAAAACGACAAAAAAAGAAAGAAGCCCCCCCCTCCTCCCTCAATGAACAAGATAGAGACGATGGAGGCGGCAGAAGAAGGAGGAGAAGAAGAAGGAAGAAGAAGAAGCCGACATGAAGTAAGAAGGGGAAAGAAGAGCACCCTAGCCCGCCTCCTTGCCTCTCACGACGACTGTAATCACAGATCGTAATCAGCTCCTCCAGACGTCTTGGCATCCTCGTCCTCTCCTCCTCCTCCTCCTCCTCCTCCTCCTCCTCCTCCCTCATTTTTTGCGTCTCGCGTGGCATGTACTCAAACGAGCCGGCGCCTCGCCTCGCCTACCCGGTCCGAGCCGGGCCCAGACACTGTCCGCACAACGTCGGTCGCATCGCCTCGCATCGCTCAGGAGGGAAAGAAACACACAGACACAATTAATCGTCGACTCCCAGGAAAATATGCAAAAATATGGGAAGTGGTGGGGAAGACAAAAACCCAGAAAATATTGGAAAATATGGGGGATATTTTTATTTGTGTGTATTTATTTGTGTGTTCCAGTTCCCCTTCAATCGCGTCTTGCCGCCAGGCCGCGCGGCGCCACCGGCGGCGGCAGCTGGCTGCGAGCCCGCCGGCGGCGCTCGCCGCGCGGGCGAGTCCTACTACGCTGCCGCCCGCGCGGCGCGCGCCAAAAGGGGCCCCCCCGCGCGACTGGCCACGGGCCCTCCCCGCGGGCCCGGCCCGTGTCCTCGCGCCTGCCCTGGCCACTGGGCAGGTTTTCCACCACCACCACCACCATGGGCAGGACGGGGGGGAAGGGAGGATGAGGAGGTCCTCCTCCTCCTCTTCCTCCTCCTCCTCCTCCTCCTCCTCCTCCTCCTCCTCCTCCTCCTCTCCTGCATATGGCAGTGGTGGTGGAAAATGGGCCCATCACTGGCGGTGCTGCCAGTCTGCCCTCGGGGCGGGCCCCCTGGAGGAGTGCAGCAGTCAGCCCGCAGGGTAATTAAGGATCACTGGCCCAAGACAGACGCCCAAGCCCGAAAACGCGAGGGCCAAGACAAACGCGCAGGCTCCTCAAGACTTCGGGGAGAAAGATGTTGGGGTGAGTTTTGACCAGGGGGATACCAAGGAGGGCAGGGAGGGAAGGCGGGGTAGGGGGCGTGCAAGGGCAGGCCTTCCAAGGCCCGAATTATGCCTGTGTCGCCCAGGGGGGCCTAGCCCAGGGGGGCAATGCGGTGGTGCTCATCGGGGGCTTGGCAACCAAGCCCCCTTACAGGGCTGCAGCCTCCCGTCGGCACGGGGAGGAGGAGGAGGAGGACGAGAACGAGGACGAGGACGAGCACGAGGAGGAGGAGGAGGAGCTCAGAGGAGGAAGAGGTACAGTGTAGGCCCACGCCAGAAGATGAACGATGACGTAAACAACATCCCAGCTAGGGGAACGTCGTCCCAGCTAGGGGAGCGAACAATGGCATCAACATCGAAGCTCGGAGGTCCGCGCGGATTCCTCGGATCGGCGCTGGAGCCCCCCTTGGCGGCGCCTCCGGCGCAGCCCCTGGCTCCGCGGGCCAAGAACGGGAGGTCGATGCCAAGAAGCACCCTGCTTGCCTCCAGTGTGCCCTGGGTTTCTTCTTGGTTTTCGATGTTTCTGCCATGGAAACCACAATAATCCATGGACGTCCTGGGGTCTCAGGCTTGGATTTCTTATGGAAGGTTTCCTGTGATCGGGCCCCTACTGTATGTCATTGTTCGTTCCCCGGTAGTCGTTCCCGAGCTTTCCGCAGCGCTCTCGGAGCGATGTTTCAAGGGCGCTCTGGAACGTCCGCGGTGCCCGACACTGCCTCCAGAACCGCCGGGTCTCAGAGATCCCCGAGTTGCCCTGGCCGATCTTGCCCCACGTTTCGCCTCGCGTCAGATCGAATAAAACACAACTGCACGAACATGAATGTTTGGTGGTCCGCGCGCGCGAATTGAAACATATAATAATAATAAATCGATCGAACTCGATCGGACTCGATCGAACTCGATCGCGAATACAACAACATGATAATAAATCGATCGAATCGATCGAGCTCGAAGAAAACATTTGCACAGACACTATTGTTTTGCTCCTGGAAAGGACCGCGGGAGCACAGACGGAGGATGAAAGCAGTCATGCGAGCGCTGCGAAGCGCGAGCGGGCGGGAGTGTGAGGCGCGAGCTCGAAGCAGGGGTGGACCGAGCCGGTGCTCTGGCGATCTCGTGTGCCGCGTTCGCTCTGCCGTCGCTTTGCAGCAGCGGCGGAACGTAGACGACGGCGAAGGACGGCGCCAACGAAGCCAAAAACGAAGGCCGCTCCATGGGTCGAGCCCGCCGCGCGGCCGCCCCGGGTCGGCGCCTCGGCCGCCGACCAGCCCCGACCCGAGAAGTCCGTGTGTCGACGTCACCCGAGCGCGCGCGTGGCTCCCTCGGCGGGAGCCCTCGAGGAGCACCTCGGGCCATGCTGCCGAAGAAGTGCACGGGGGGGAGGGGCGTCGGAGCAGCAGCGAGGCGTGGGCCTCCCGGGAGTCCGTGCTCGTGCGGCCGGCTCGCCCTAGGGGTGTTGGGACGCAGGGGCACTGCGCCGGCGGCATGCGCCATCGGACGCGTAGGGAGGGCGGCACGGGTGCTGAGACGGGGCCTCCGCTCCCGCTCCGACGCGCAAGCAAAGATGATGATGATGATGATGATGATGATGATGATGATGATGATGATGATGATGATGATGATGATGATGATGATGATGATGATGATGATGATGATGTATGATGATGATGATGATGATGATGATGATGTATGATGATGATGATGATGATGATGATGATGATGATGATGATGATGATGATGATGATGATGATGATGATGATGATGAGCATGAGGATGAGGATGAGGATGAGGATGAGGATGAGGATGAGGATGAGGATGAGGATGAGGATGAGGATGAGGATGAGGATGAGGATGAGGATGAGGATGAGGAGGAGGAGGAGGAGGAGGAGGAGGAGGAGGAGGAGGCGGAGGAGGAGGAGGAGGAGGAGGAGGGGAAGGAAGGAAGGGGAAAAGTAGAGCGAAGACAGTCAGGAAGGGGTGGGAGGATGAGGGGGAGGAAGAGGTGGATGCGGCAGGGAAGTGGAGAGGAGGAGGAGGAGGAGGAGGCGGAGGATGAGGAGGAGGAGGAGGAGGAGGAGGAGGAGTGCCCATCAAAGTGTTGTTTCGGAGGTGGATAGACCTCCTACCCTGACATGTCGTCGCGCCCGTCATTTTTGCGGTTCCAGGTCCGTCGGTTTCGGTCCCAGTCCGTTTTCATAAGGGGAGATTTGCTAAAGAGAGGTTTGTCCACCGCCGATTGTTGAGGTCACTGTACCCCTAGTGAGCGAAGAGTTGGTAGATGGTGGGGCGGGTAAGGAGCAGGAGGAGGAGAAAGACAGTTGTACGAGATGGGTGATTTCGGAGACGGCCAGCGCCTGGTCCGAAGTGCTGCCGATGTCAGCAGGAATGGGCGGAGCGACGTGGAGGAGGAAGAGGAGGATGAGGAAGAAGAAGACGGAAGGAACTGAGGATTACGAGAGGGAGTCCAGTGGGGAGGGTATACCTCCTGCCTATCTCGTCCTAGCCCCTACCTCTTTCCCCTCACACATGGCTAGATCTCTCCTCCCCTTTCTCTGCCTTCACCCTGTGCGTCAGCAGACGCTACATGGAGACATCGTGTCGAGAGCCCAGGCACCATTCTTGAAGCTTGGCGTATGCCCGCCAGCCCGTCCAGAAGCGATGCCCAGGCGAGTTGCATGGATCAGGGAAGTGTGGGCGGCAAGCAGCGGAACACGCAAAAGGGGCAGCGGTCACACCGAACACCAGGCGGGCTGCCCTGAGCGGGGACGTGTGGGAGCAGGCAGCGGAGCGAGCGGGGGGCAGCAGCCAGGCCGGACGTCGGGAGGAGGCGCAGCAGGCCCGGGAGTCCTCCTGCCGCGCTCCCGGGGCGCCCCCGGGGCCGGTTCTCCGGGGTGTGGCGTGCCTCGCTGGCGGCCCGCGCAAGCCACCGCGTAAGGTCGCTATGCCATCTCGC